CCTTGGGGCTACCTGTGATTTCATTCCCCTAATCAGGGTCCCCCCCTCTACTTTTCTCTAAACAAGAGTTTCAGATAATAATAATAATATAATAATAATAACAACAACAACATCCATATCTGCCTATCCCAGGTCCTGGGTAAGGACTCGATAAGTAGACAAAATGCCAAATCCAGTCTGAACATCTGGCTGACTGTGCGATGATCCATAATAATAATAGTAGTAATAGTAATAAAAGTTAGAAGGGACCTTGGAGGTCATTTAGTCCAGCCCCCTGCTCAGGCAGGAAACCCTACACCATTTCAACCTAGAACTAAGGAGAAACTTCCTGACAGTTAGAACAATTAACCAGTGGAACAATGTGCCTGAATGCTCCAACACTGGAAGTTTTTAAGAAGAGACTGGACAGCCATTTGTTCGAAAGGGTATAGGGTCTCCTGCCTGAGCAGGGGGTTGGACTAGATGAGGGGGTTGGACGGAGTGTGCACGAATTCTGGAGGCAGGCTGTTCCACTGGTTAATTGTCCTTACTCTCAGAAGTTTCTCCTTAATTCCATGGAATAATAAAATAACAGAGCTGGAAGGGACCTTGGAGGTCTTCTAGTCCAACTCCCTGCTCAGGCAGGAGATCCTATACCGTCCCTATACCGACCCTCCAAGGTCCCTTCCAACTTTATTATTATTATTATTATTATTATTATTATTATTATTATTATTATTATTATTATTATTATCATTATTATTAACGACAGTTTGTCCGGTGAAGTTACAACGGCACTGGAAAAAAAAAAGATTGATGGCCGTCCTTCACACTCAACATCCCGTGGTCATGTGATCCAAATTCGGATACTTAGCAACTGACTCATATTTACGACGGGCGCAGTGTCCCGCCGTCGTGCGATCCCCTTCGCCGGCAAGCCAAGTCAATGGGGAAGCCAGAGTCGCCTAACCACCCTCTTACTCATTTAAAACTGCAGCGTTTCGCTTAACGACTGCAGCAGGAAAGGTCGTAAGAGGGAGCAAAACTCACTCAACAATTTCTCGCTTAGCAACAGAAATCTGGGGCTCAATGGAGGACATAAGTTGAGGACTACCTGAAACAGAATAACCACAGGCCGGCAAAAAAAGAAAAAAAAAAGCAGTAGGAGCAACTCCTGATTTCCTGTCGGCTTCCCCAGTGACATTCCTTGTAATAAGCTGACAGGGAGCACTGGGTCAGCAGCTGACCTCAGCAGCACAGAAGCAGCCGTAGTAACTGCCAAATTTGAACCCCGTGGAAGTCACGGGTCCTGGATTTGGGTTGCATTCGGTAACTTAGCCTGTTTGAAGTCCATTCATTCAAAAAACTGTTGCTGTGCGATGCACCGTTTTACCCAATATATAAGGTTACAAACAAACAAATACAAGAGTTTTAGTAGTAATATAATTAAACCCCTTCCTGGCTCCTCAATATCTTTTCAACTAAGCAAGAACAGTATTTGAGATAAGATAACCTTTGTTGTCATTTTTCACCGTGAGCACACTGGCCCACATTAGATTAGAACAGAACAGAAAAATATAGAATATAGAATATAAAATATAGAATAGAATAGAATAGAATACAGAATATAAAATAGAATAGAAGAATGAATAGAATAGAAGAATGAATAGAATAGAAGAATATAGAATAGAATACAGAATATAGAATAGAATATAGAATATAGAATAGAATAGAATAATGAATAGAATAGAATAGAAAGTAGAATAGAAGAATGAATAAAATAGAATAATGAATTGAATAGAAAATAGAATAGAATAGAATAGAATAGAATAGAATAGAATAGAATAGAATAGAATAGAAGCTGGAAGGGATCTTAGAGGTCTTCTAGTCCAGCCCCCTGCTCAAGTAGGAGAACCTATATACCATTCATTACAAATGAAATTCTGTTGCCTGCTCTCGAAAGTATATATCTACCCAATCACATATTTAACAGACTATACTCATCACACACACACACACACACACACACACACACACACACACACACCACTGTCCATTCTGAATACATAGCAAAGAGAAGCTTCAGAGTTCAAAAGGTTAACACTGTATGCTTTTTTTTTGTTCCATTTTATGGAAAATTTGCACACAGGCATCTCCCCCAATGAGTACTCAGAAGTAAGCAAAGGCATAAACCAGGGGTAGGCAACCTTGGCTCTTTTATGACTCCTGGACTTCAACTCCCAGAATTCCTGAGCCAGCATGGGGGAACTATGGCTCCCTTCGTGATTCCTGGACTTCAACTCCCAGAATTCCTGAGCCAGCATGGGGGAACTATGGCCCCCTTCATGACTGGTGGACTTTAACTCCCAGAATTCCTCAGCCAGCAATGGGGGAACTCTGGCCCCTTCATGACTCGTGGACTTCAACTCCCAGAATTCCTGAGCCAGCATGGGGGAACTATGGCCCCCTTCATGACTCATGGATTCAACTCCCAGAATTCCTCAGCCAGCATGGGGGAACTATGGCCCCCTTCATGACTGGTGGACTTCAACTCCCAGAATTCCTGAGCCAGCGTGATTCAGCATGGAAACCTCTCCCTTTCCCCTCAGCGTGGCTGGCTCAGGAATTCTGGGAATTGAAATCCACAAGCCATAAACGAGCCAAGGTTGCCTATCCCTGGACTAGATGAAACAAAATAGGTCTTCTGTATGACTTCTCAGAAGTAAATCTCCCTCTTTGTGCACAAGTGAGCATGTCTAAGAGTTCAACTCTTTTGCTGAGAAGTGACACAATACCCTTGCCACACGACAATGCGAGACGCAACTTGCTTTCACTTCCTTCTTCATTTGTTTCCTGGGAGAAAACCAGACCCTCTGCAAGACCAACGTATACTCAGGAGATTTTTAGGAAGAAAGCCAGGTTGGTTTACAGGAGCAAAAGGTCAGAAAGGCCGTTTTTTTCCAATTCACACACTTTAGGAAAGTTGTAAAACTTCAGCTTTTTAATTTATTTATTTTTATTTAATTTATTTATTTTTTTTTACAAAACTATCAGGAACTCATGTTCGAGAACGAGAATAAGGTGAACAAAATGCAAAAACCAATATCGAAATAAAATTTGAACTCTACATCAGTCTATAGGGTTTCCTGCCTGAGCAGGGGGTTGGACTACATGACCTCCAAGGTCCCTTCCAACATTATTATTATTATTATTATTATTATTATTATTATTATTATTATTATTATTACCACTTCTTAATTTGCTGAGATTGAGAAACACAGATTTAAGCTTGATGAAGCCTGTTCCTCTCTCTTTAATAGAACCAATAATAAGATTTATAATTTTATAATTAATTAATTGTTTATAAATAACAATAACAACAACAACAACAACAACAACAATAATAATAATAATAATAATAATAATAATAATAATAATAATAAAGTTGGAAGGGACCTTGGAGGTCATCAAGTCCAACCCCCTGCTCAGGCAGGCAACCCTATACCATTTCGGACAAATGGCTGTCTTTTACATTCACAAGAATGATTCCCAGCGAGTTGAATTTGAGCAGTTTTAACATAAATGATCCAAGAAGCCGCTTCAGTTCTTTCACAGATAAATTTACCTGGGGCAAGCTCTTTTTAACAAGAGTCCCACTCTTTGTACCGAACGTTCAGCTTTTTTTAAAAAAACTTTTTATCCGCAGCCCCAACTTTTTTGATCCAGGAATGACAAATGCTAACCAGACTAGATTTCCTTGGAGAGTAGAGTAGAGTAGAGTAGAGTAGAGTAGGATAGGATAGGATAGGACAGAACAGAACAGAACAGAATAGAATGGAGAATAGAATAGGATAGGATAGGATAGGATAGGATAGGATAGGATAGGTTAGGATAGGATAGGATAGGATAGGATAGGATGGAATAGAAGAATAGAATAGAATAGAATAGAATAGAATAGAATAGAATAGAAAATATGGAATAGAAAGAATAGGATAGGATAGGATAGGATAGGATAGAATAGAAAATATGGAATAGAAAGAATAGAATAGAATAGAATAGAATAGAATAGAATAGAATAGAATAGAATAGAATAGAATAGAATAGAAAATATGGAACGGAAAGAATAGGATAGGATAGGATAGGGTAGGGTAGGATAGGATAGGATAGGATAGGATAGGATAGGATAGAAAATATGGAATAGAAAGAATAGAATAGAAAGAATAGAATAGAATAGAATAGAATAGAATAGAATAGAATAGAATAGAATAGAATAGAAAATATGGAATAGAAAGAATAGGATAGGATAGGATAGGATAGGATAGGATAGGATAGAATGGAATAGAAAATATGGAATAGAAAGAATAGAATAGAATAGAATAGAATAATAGAATAGAATAGAAAATATGGAATAGAAAGAATAGGATAGGATAGGATAGGATAGAATAGAATAGAATAGAATAGAATAGAATAGAATAGAATAGAATAGAATAGAATAGAAAATATGGAATAGAAAATAGAATAGAATAGAATAGATCAGAACAGAACAGAACAGAATAGAATAGAAAATATGGAATAGAATAGAATATAGAAAATAGAATAGAATAAAAAATAGAATAGAATAAAAAATAGAATAGAATAGAATAAAAAATAGAATAGAATAGAATAAAAAATAGAATAGAATAGAATGGAAAATATTCTATTATATCCTTCCTCCTCCTCCTCCTCTCCACAAACCACTTCCCTTCAAGCACTGATGATGTTCCCTAGCTGGGCCATGAAATGTCCGCAAGAAAACCACCAAGCTTAGAGAGCACCAAGGACCCCATAATCCTCCTCCTCCTCCTCCTCCCTTCTAGCACTGAGGATGCTGCCTAGTTGAGACCTGAAACGTCTGCAAGAGAACAACCAAACTCGGCGGATATCCGGGACCCCCCAGTTCAACCCTGATGTAAAAACGGGCCCTTCCAGGAGCACTAAGCCCAGCCCAGGCTCCAGGTACCCCTTTCCCGGAGTTCCCTTACCTGTGCTGGGTCTCAGGCGGTTCTCAGCCAGCTCCGCGATGGCCCCTGCGGTGATGGTCTTCTTCAGCCTGGAGCCTCCGGAGGTGGTGACAACTCCCGGCTTGGACAACATGTCTTCACTGCTGGCTCTCTTCAGCTGCAAGAGAGGAGACGATCAGAGGCCTTGCAGGGCGAGGGTGGTCCCGGTGGGGGAGGCTGGCCCCCCCTTCTTTTGCTGCCTAGTCCAAGGAAGGCAGACACTCCCCCCCACACACACACACCTGCCACTGGGACAAGCATGCCGGCCAACAACTTCCCAAAGGAGGTGGAACCCCTTCTATCAGCTGCCCTTTGCCTTCAGGTCAAGATTTTCAAAAGGGAGGAGGAAGGAAGAAAGGAAGGAAGGAAGGAAGGAAGGAAGGAAGGAAGGAGGGGGAGGAAGGAAGGAAGAAAGGAAGGAAGGAAGGAAGGAAGGAAGGAAGGAAGGAAGGAAGGAAGGAAAGAGGGAGGAAGAAAGGAAGGAAAGAGGGAGGGAGAAAGGAAGGAAGAAGGGAGGGAGGGAGGAAGGAAGGAAGGAGGGAGGGAAGGAGGGAGGGAGAAAGGAAAAGGGATGGGAGGGAGGGAGGATGGGAGAAAGGAAGGAAGAGAAAAAAGGGAGAAGAGGAAGAGTAGGAATAAAAATGAAGAAACAGGAGGAGGAAGAGGGGGAGGGGAGGAAAAGAAGGAAGGAAGGGAGAATAGGGGAAGGAAGGAAGGAGGGGAGGAAGGACTGAAGAGGGAGGGACTGAAGGAAGGAAGGAAGGAAGGAAGGAAGGAGGGAAGGAAGGAAGGAATGAAGGAGGGAGAAAGGAAGGAGGGAAGGAAGGAAGGAAGGAGGGAGAAAGGAAGGAAGGAGAAGGGAAGGAAGAAGGATAGGAAGGAAGGAAGGAGGAAGGAAGGAAGGAGGGAGGAGGAGGAAGGAAGGAAGGAAGAAGGAGAAAGGAAGGAGGGAAGGAAGGAAGGAAGGAGGCAGAAAGGAAGGAAGGAGGGAGAAAGGAAGGAAGGAGGGAGAAAGGACTGAAGAGGGAGGGACTGAAGGAAGGAAGGAAGGAAGGAAGGAAGGAAGGAAGGAGAAAGGAAGGAAGGAGGGAGAAAGGAAGGAAGGAAGGAAGGAAGGAGGGAGAAAGGAAGGAGGGAAGGAAGGAAGGAAGGAGGGAGAAAGGAAGGAAGAAGGAGGAAAGGAAGGAAGGAAGGAAGGGAAGGAAGGAAGGAGGGAGAAAGGAAGGAAGGAGGGAGAAAGGACTGAAGAGGGAGGGACTGAAGGAAGGAAGGAAGGAAGAAAGGAAGGAGGGAAGGAAGGAAGGAAGGAAGGAGGGAGAAAGGAAGGAAGGAAGGAGGGAAGGAAGGAAGGAAGGAGGGAGAAAGGAAGGAAGGAAGGAGGGAAGGAAGGAAGGAAGGAAGGAGGGAGAAAGGAAGGAGGGAAGGAAGGAAGGAATGAAGGAGGGAGAAAGGAAGGAGGGAAGGAAGGAAGGAAGGAAGGAAGGAGGGAGAAAGGAAGGAAGGAAGGAGGGAAGGAAGGAAGGAAGGAAGGAGGGAGAAAGGAAGGAAGGAGGGAAGGAAGGAAGGAATGAAGGAGGGAGAAAGGAAGGAAGGAAGGAAGGAAGGAGGGAGAAAGGAAGGAAGGAAGGAGGGAAGGAAGGAAGGAAGGAGGGAGAAAGGAAGGAAGGAAGGAAGGAGGGAAGGAAGGAAGGAAGGAGGGAGGGAGGGAGAAAGGAAGGAAGGAGGGAGGAAAGGAGGGAGGGAGAAAGGAAAAGGTACGGGAGGGAGGATGGAAGAAAGGAAGGAAGGGAAAAAAGAGGGAGAAGAGAAAGAGTAGGAATACAAATGGAGAAGAAATAGGAGGAAGAGGGGGAGGAGGAAAAGAAGGAAGGAAGGGAGAATAGGGGAAGGAAGGAAGGAAAAGATGGAGGTGAAGAGGAAGAGAAGGATGAAAAATGGAGAAGAGGAAAAGGTGGAGGGAGAGAAGGAAGGAAGGAAGAAAAAAAGGGAGAAGAGGAAGAGTAGGAATAAAAATGGAGAAAAAGGGGGAGGGGGAGGAAAAGGAAGGGAAGGAAGAATAAGGGAAGGAAGGAAGGAAGGGAGGAAAAGATGGAGGTGAAGAGGAAGAGGAAAATGGAGAAGAGGAACCTAAGAAAAAAAGAAGGAGGAGGTGGAGGGAGGGAAGAAAGGAAGGAAGAAAGGAAAGAAAGAAAAGAGGGAGAAGAGGAAGAGTAGGAAGAAACACGGAGAAGAAAGGAGGAGGAGGAGGAGGAGGAGGAGGAGGAGGAGGAGGAGGAGGAGGAGGACGACTATGGAATCCAGCTATTGGCTCCTTCGTTCAAGGCATTTGATCTCTGATCATACCACACATTTCAAATATTGGGCAGCTGCATCCAAAAGGAACGGGACCGTTTTCCGGAACTGTCCTATTTCCCAAGATTGGACTTATACAAAGGTAAGTCCTCGAACTTACAACCATTCGTTTAGCGACCGTTCCCAGTTACAACGGCACCAAAAGAAGTGACTTAGGGCCGTTTTTCACACTTACGACCGTTGCCGCAAGCCTTGGGGTGTGTGTGTCACGCGATCAAAATTCAGACGCTCGGCAACTGACTCGCATTTACGACGGTCGCACTGTCCCCTGTGCACCGTGTGATTGTCTTGTGCGATGCACGAAGTCCACGGGGAAGCCAGACTCACTTAACGACCGTCTGACTGAATTAACAACTGCAGCGATTCACTCGGGGACGAAGACGGGGGTGTAAAATGGGGCGAAACTCACTTAACGACTGTCTCGTTTAGCAACGGATCCTTTGGGGCTCAGTTGGGGTGGTAAGGCGAGGACCCCCCCCCCCGCACACATCTGGAGGACGCCGTTCTTGCGCCCGACAGCCCTGTGCTGAGATTTTTTTTGCCCCCCTTTTGAGACCCCCCCACCCTCTCCTGTAGCCCCCCCCCACAACCTTGCTAAGCCGGGAATCGAAGGCCAGCGAGGTGGAAGACTTGGAGGGCCTCATTCCACTCGCGGCGGCAGGCAATGCTTTTCCTCGTTCGGTTCCGTGGCTCCCCGGTTTGGCCACCGCAGTCCACGGTCTGGCCGCCCCCTTCATCCTGCGGCGGGAAGAAGCCTCGCCCTGCGAAAGAGAGAGGTGGGGTGGGAAAAGAGGGGGGAATGGGCCGTTAGTGGGTTTGGAAGCGTCTAGGACCAGGGTTTGTCAACCTGGATGACTTGAAGAGGGGTGGGCTTCCATTCCCAGAATTCCCCAGCCATCATGCTTTAAGAGGGGTGGGCTTCCACTCCCAGAATTCCCCAGCCAGCATGCTTTAAGAGGGGTGGACTTCCACTCCCAGAATCCCCCAGCCAGCCTGCTTTAAGAGGGGTGTATTTCCGCTCCCAGAATTCCCCAGCTATCCTGCTTTAAGAGGGGCGGGCTTCCACTCCCAGAATCCCCCAGCCAGCCTGCTTTAAGAGGGGTGGACTTCCACTCCCAGAATTCCCCAGCCATCTTGCTTTAAGAGAGGTGTATTTCCACTCCCAGAATTCCCCCGCTATCCTGCTTTAAGAGGGGAGGACTTCCACTCCCAGAATCCCCCAGCCAGCCTGCTTTAAGAGGGGTGTATTTCCGCTCCCAGAATCCCCCAGCCATCCTGCTTTAAGAGGGGTGGGCTTCCACTCCCAGAATCCCCCAGCCAGCCTGCTTTAAGAGGGGTGGGCTTCCATTCCCAGAATTCCCCAGCCATCTTGCTTTAAGAGGGGAGGACTTCCACTCCCAGAATCCCCCAGCCAGCCTGTTTTAAGAGGGTTGGGCTTCCACTCCCAGAATCCCCTGGCCATCCTGCTTTAAGAGGGGTAGACTTCCACTCCCAGAATCCCCTAGCCAGCCTGCTTTAAGAGAGGTGGGCTTCCACTCCCAGAATCCCCCAGCCATCCTGCTTTATATGCTTCCTTTACTCACTTTCTACAACGTGAGCCCGTTGCCCAGCGTCTGCAGGGGCGGTGTGAAAAACAGTCCTAAGTCACCTTTTTCAGTGCCCTTGCAACTTCGAACAGTCCCTAAATGAACGGTTGGAAGTGGAAGACGGCCTGCATACCCTCTGTGTAGCACTGCTGAGTGCGAAGACTGCGCGACTGCGCCGAGCTCCCCTCGCACACTTCCTATCTCGCAAACCACAATAAAAAAAAACCCCGCAACCGTCTCTGACACGCTACATTTGAATTTCCAAGCGTGCAAACCACGTGCAAACCATCTTTGTTTTCGCACGCCAGGAAGGAGTTAAGGCTGCCTTTCTCTCCGGGATTCTCCTCCCTGTTCAGCTCCAAACATCCTGAAGTGGCTTTAATGCCAGAAGCCAAAAATGTCTTGGGAAGGCAGCTGGATAAGCGGTGGAGACCTGTGAGACTTACACACACACACACACACACACACACACACACACACAGCCCTTTCCAAAAGTCTTGGAAGCATGTGGGTGGACACCTGGCATCCAGACTTGGGTAGCAGACACGTCACCAGGAAGCGCTAAGATGGTTTCGTCAGTTAGACTGTTAGAGGAGGTCTAGCCCAGAAGGAGAAGCTAAACCAGCCTTTTTCAAGGTTAGCAACTTGAAGAGGGCTGGACCAGCTCCCAGAATTCTCCAGCCAGCCTGCTATAAAAGAGGTGGACTTCTACTCCCAGAATCCCCCAGCCAGCATGCTTTAAGAGGGGTGGGCTTCCATTCCCAGAATCCCCCAGCCAGCATGCTTTAAGAGGGGAGGACTTCCACTCCCAGAATCCCTCAGCCAGCCTGCTTTAAGAGGGGTGGGCTTCCACTCCCAGAATCCCCCAGTGGCCTGCTTTAAGAGGGGAGGACTTCCACTCCCAGAATCCCCCAGCCAGCATGCTTGAAGAGGGGAGGATTTCCACTCCCAGAATCCCCCAGCCAGGATGCTTTAAGAATGGTGGACTTCCACTCCCAGAATCCCCCAGCCAGCATGCTTGAAGAGGGGAGGATTTCCACTCCCAGAATCCCCCAGCCAGGATGCTTTAAGAGGGGTGGGCTTCCACTCCCATAATCCCCCAGCCAGCCTGCCTTAAGAGGGGAGGATTTCCACTCCCAGAATTCCCCAGCCAGCGTCCTTTATGAGGGGTGGGCTTCCACTCCCAGAATTCCCCAGCCATGGTGCTTTAAGAGGGGTGGACTTCCATTCCCAGAATTCCCCAGCCAGGCTGTGTTAAGAAGGGTGAACTTCCACCCCCAGAATTCCCCAGCCATTATGCTTTAAGAGGGGTGGACTTCAACTCCCAGAATTCCCCAGGCGGCCTGCTTTCATATAAATGGACTTCCACTCCCAGAATTCCCCAGCCAGCATGCCCAATTTGAAAAACATCGATCCAACTCCTGGGATGGAACACACACGAGGTCTGATGCTCAAGCCCTCCAGATTGCAAAGCCTTTGAAGTTGTGTATGTGTGTGGCGATAGTGTGATACTGGGAAGCTGCCATCATTGTTAAATGTAAGCCGGTGGCCAAGATCCTGAATCACGATCACACAGTTGCTATGACGGTCGTAAGTCTGTGGACCTAAATCTCTTTTTTTTCAGCTCTATAATCACATAATCAAAAATGGTCCTAAGTCAACAACTGCTGGGAAACCGATTTGTTGTTTTTGTCATGCAGGTTAGGAAGGAGCTACACCTAGTTGCAGCCACAAACAGGTGTAGCTAGCAGGAAGTCTTGTAGTCTTCGACTTACAATGCATACTCGACCCCAAATTTTCTGTTGCTAAGCAAGTCAGCCAGTGAGTTTTGGTCCATTTGATCATTTTGGTTTTTTGCCACAACTGTTAAAGTGAATCCCTGAGGTTGTTAAGTGAATAAGGCAGTCATTAAGCAAATCTGGCTTCCTCCATTGACTCGAATTGTCAGATGATGGATGGGAAGGTTGCAAATGGGGGTCACATGACCTTGGGACAACACCCCTAATGGCCCACTAAATCATCACAGGGCTGTCTTTAATATAAATTGGACAGGGGTAGACAATCTTGGCTCTTTTATGACTCGTGGACTTCAACTCCCAGAATTCCTGAGCCAGCATGGGGGAACTATGGCCCCCTCATGATTGGTGGAGTTCAACTCCCAGAATTCCTGAGCCAGCAAGGGGAAACCATGGCCCTTTCATGACTTGTGGACTTCAACTCCCAGAATTCCTGAGCCAGCATGGGGGAACTATGGCCCCCTTCATGACTGGTGGACTTCAACTCCCAGAATTCCTGAGCCAGCATGGGGGAACTATGGCCCCTCATGACTGGTGGACTTCAACTCCCAGAATTCCTGAGCCAGCATGGGGGAACTATGGCCCCCTTCATGATTCGTGGACTTCAACTCCCAGAATTCCTGAGCCAGCACGGGGGAACTATGGCCCCCTTCATGACTGGTGGACTTAACTCCCAGAATTCCTCAGCCAGCAATGGGGGAACTCTGGCCCCTTCATGACTCGTGGACTTCAACTCCCAGAATTCCTGAGCCAGCATGGGGGAACTATGGCCCCCTTCATGACTCGTGGACTTCAACTCCCAGAATTCCTGAGCCAGCATGGCTCAGCTTGGAAACCTCTCCCTTTTCCCTCAGCATGGCTGGCTCAGGAATTCTGGGAGTTGAAGTCCACGAGTCATAAAAGAGCCAAGGTTGCCTACCCCTGGTCTAGTGGTTAAGGCACCAGGCTAGAAAGTGGGAGATAGTGAGTTGGCATGAAAGCTGGCTGGGTGACTTTGGGCCAATCACTAGGAGACGGTGAGTTCTAGTTTTGCCTTAGGCATGAAAGCTGGCTAGGTGACTTTGGCCCAATCACCAGGAGACTGGGAGTTCTAGTCTAGCCTCAGACATGAAAATCGGATGGGTGCCGGGCCAATCACCAGGAGACTGGAAATTCTAGTCCCGTCTTAGGCATGAAAGCCAGCTGGGTGACTTTGGACCAATGACCAGAACTCCAGGAGACTGTGAAGTCTAGTTTAGCCTCAGGCATGAAAATTGGCTGGATGACTGGGCCAATCACCAGGAGACTGGAAGTTCTAGTCCAATATTAGGCATGAAAGCTGGGTGACTTTGGGCCAATGACCAGGAGACAGTGAGTTCTAGTCCCACCTTAGGCATGAAAGCTGGCTGGGTGACTTTAGGCCAGTCACCAGGAGTCTGAGAGTTCTAGTCCAGCCTCAGGCATGAAAGCTGGGTGGGCCCATCACCAGGAGACCGTGAATTCTAGTCCAGCCTGGGGCATGAAAGCTTCTGAATCTGGCCCGGATCCCTCAGACCTGTGTGAGCTGAGCTACTGAAACATGCAGTGAGGAGCAAAGACACGGACCTCAGATAACCCGAACGGAAAGAAAGAAAGAAGTGGGTGGAACAAGCCACGTGGAGGCCACGTGAAAGGTAGGCGGAAGCCATCTTGAACTCGTGACGTGGGAAAGGAAATGAGCAGACATCCAGAACTGCCAAATCTGCTAGCTAAACTCTCTTTCCCAGCTATTCAAAAACCTCGGTTGCTTTTTGCAAAAAAAAAGGTTGGGATTTTAAGCGCCAAAGACGCTTGTTTTCCTCGACCCCCCTGCATCGTTTTTCCTTTCGTGTGGCACCTTTCCACGGGAAACCGGAGAATATTATTAATAATAATAATAATAATTGCCTGTATGCAACAACACTAGAAGTCTTTAAGAAGAGACTGGACAGCCATTTGTCTGAAGTGGTATAGGGTTTACTGCCTGAGCAGGGGGTTGGACTAGATGACCTCCAAGGTCCCTTCCAACTTTATTATTATTATTATAAATAATTACCTGTATGCAACAACACTAGAAGTCTTTAAGAAGAGACTGGACAGCCATTTGTCTGAAGTGGTATAGGGTTTACTGCCTGAGCAGGGGGTTGGACTAGATGACCTCCAAGGTCCCTTCCAACTTTATTATTATTATAAATCAATAAATAAAAAGCAGAGCAAGACGCAGATAAAGGTTACAAAGATTTAAATTCATTCAGCCCTGGCTTTCCTCTCCTCTCAAAGATGCATACTGGGCATTTCAGATTAGGGAAAAAAAGGGGGGGGCAATTAATAAACCGTCCCCAAACGACATTATTAAAGTAAAAATCAACACATCCCATCAACACCAAAGACGTTGATTTCAAAAGCAGAGCCAGGATGTAAGGAGAAATCCTGCCATGGGAAGATAAAAGATGGAGGCGAAGGAGATTGCAAAGGCTTTAAAAACGAGGGCTGAATAATAATAATAATAATAATAACTATTTGTTATTGCACTGTTTCCTCTGTCAACAATACTGAATAACTCAGGACATGGTTATCAAACATCAAAAACATCTGCTAGACTATCCCACCTCCTTTACATGGATGATCTGAAGCTGTATGGAAAAACATCATCTGAAATAGAATCGCTGCTCAACACTGTCCGTATATATAGCCAAGATATTGTAATGGAGTTTGGCTTGGACAAATGTGCCACACTTACTATCAAACAAGGAAAATAGTGAAAACTGAAGGAATCAAGATGCCCCACGAAAATAACATTAAGAGTCTGGATGAGGAAGAGTACTACAAATACTTGGGTATCCTTCAAGCTGACAACATCAAGCACACTGAAGTCAAGAAAAAGATTAGAGGTGAATACATCAAGAGAGTGAAGAAGATCTTAAAATCCAAACTCAATGGAGGAAATACCATAAAGGCAATCAACACCTGGGCAATCCCAGTCATTAGGTACACAGCTGGAATAGTGGACTGGACTCAAGCAGAACTAAAAGCAATGGATAGGCAGACCAGAAAAATAATGACAAAGAATCACGCCCTTCATCCACGCAGTGACATTGATAGACTTTATCTACCAAGGCAAATAGGTGGGCGTGGAATGCTACAAGTACATCAGATGGTTGAAGAAGAAAAAATGACTTTGGAAGAATATCTGAAGAACAATGATGAAGATGCACTGAAATTAGTATATCAGGAAGGCTTACTAACTACTGGAGAGACCAAACTGGCCTACAAGAAAGACCAAATGAAGAACAGAATAGAGGCATGGGAAGACAAAGCACTACATGGCCAATACATGAAAAAAATAGCTGGGAAAGCAGATAATAATAAAACCTGGCAATGGCTAAGAGCAGGAAAATTGAAGAAAGAGACCGAGGGACTAATTCTGGCTGCACAAGACCAAGCCTTAAGGACAAATGCATACAAAGTCAAAATTGAGAAGACAGCAACAGACAGTAAGTGCCGCCTATGCAAAGAAGCTGAAGAAACAGTGGACCACTTGGTAAGCTGTTGCAAGAAGATTGCACAGACTGATTACAAGCAGCGGCATGACAAAGTAGCAACAATGGTGCATTGGAAGATCTGCAAAAAATATCATTTGC